GTTTGCTACTAAGTTGATATAGCCAGAGGTGCTTCTGGTGAGGAATTATTAAAGGTTAACTTTGGCTAAAAGTGAACAGGGTAAGAAAATTGCACAGCAATTTACAGCAATTGCATGTTTCCAAGTAAATATAAATGTCTTCTTTGCGCTTTCTAAATGTCACGGGATTCATAATCCTTAAAATATTGTAAATCTAGACAAACATTCCTTGGGTTTTTTTACTTACGCTTAGCTTGTTTTTCACAGCAGGGGTGGGCTGGGGCCAGGTTGCTTGGTGCTAGGTCCTCCACTAACGCGCCAAGCCACCCTGGACCCCACGTCTCCCTGAAGCGTGGGGCCCCCAAAAGCGTGGCACCCGGGGCAGTTGCCTCAGTCCGTCCTATGGCCGGGATGGCTCTGCCTGGACCCTGCATCCCCCTGAAGCATGGGGCCCCCCCCAGAGCGTGGGGCCCAGGGTGATTGCCCCGATCCGTCTTATGGATGGGATGGCTCTGCTTGGACCCATTCTAGGTACCACCAAAAATTATACAACTCTGGCACCCATTAGTATGAATCCAGACCTGCAGGATCATGCCCTAAGTAAGTTAAAAGAGCAGCTTTTAATAAATAATATGCACTTCACATGGTACACACTCTGGCAGTTCCTGTGTCTTTAGCATTAATAGGAATTCCTAGGATTTGGTGGATTTAGTGTGAGGGAATTCTTAATAGGCTCTTCCAGTGCTTGAGGATATTCCTTTGTGGTTTTTCATTTTCTTCTGCCACTAGAGCACCTTTTTAATAGCTGGATTACTGGCACAATCTGGAGCCTCACGTGCAAAGATAGGTATAGAAGCTTTCCTCCTCAAAGCTTTCCTCCTCCTACTGCTGCCATTAAACAATAAACACAGTGCCATATACTACCAGACACTGGACTCCTCCTTAAAATATAACAGGATGTGAGATTAGAACAAGATCCTGTGATCTCTTTACTTCCTGGATACTATAAGAGTGATATGTGGGAGCCCAAATGTTAATGGGAAATGCAGCATTCACATTGTTGAAGACAACAGGTGGATAGTTAACGGGAAGGATGTTTCTGTTCAGTGCCTTAGGGAAATAGTTCAAGCACAATTCATTCATAGAAGAATGTTACTGTTGTAATACTACAAAAGTCATTACATCAGTGAGCTACCTAGTGTGTGTATTGGTAAATATGTAGTGTTCTATCTAATACGATGCAGTAAGCTACATAGATTGTACCCTTTTTATGCATTTTCATGTTTACTTCAAATTCGCTACATCCTTGTCGTATTGTGGAACCTATTTTTCAAAGGTTGTTTTATGGAATTTCACATTTTATTTGCTATACCCATGCAGTTAGGAAACAAAGTAATGACTGAAGTGCTCTCACGTGAATTCTCAGATACTGTTTTAGAATATGTGGAAGAGATGATCATAAAAGGCTCTATCTTCTGAACGATTTTATCTTGGGTCCTTTTTTTTTAACACACATGTGCATACCCCCTTTTCCTTGTTTAGTGAATATAATCAGACCTTGTCTTAGGCAATGGTCTGGGTAATGCATTTGCCTTGAAATCATGGCTTTATAGGTGTGCTTGTACCGTTCCATATTTCATGCTGCCACTGCTGCACAGACAGTTGGAAGTCCTGTAGTGTAGTATAAGATTAGACACACACATACAGCAACATTCCCTGCAGATCTAGTGAGCTAGATCTCCATATGCCAGCCCAGAATGGAAAAGATGTTTTACCGTGGCAACATGAATCTTTCAGGACTTGTTGCCCAACCAAAAAACAAGAATTCAAAAAAGAGAGAGTTTCTCTGCATTCACATTCAGCCAAGAAGGAGTCTTCTCTTGCGAGTGTGAATGTGTAGAATAAAATGGTCGGAACAAATGTACTGCTGCTCAGAAGATCAAAGTCGTGCTGTGTGTGTTGTTTTAAACATAGCAGTACAGGCAGTTTAAGTTGGGCAGGAAACTACTATTAAATGGAATGTAAAAAGTTGAACGATGTTTATATTTAAATTATATATGTGTAGATAACGGAGTGCCTTGTAAGTATTTGTGAAAGCCAGTGTAAGTCATTTATGTTGTTAATTATTTTATACATAAATCAGGAGTGCTTAAAGCATATTATACCACTATAAAAATACAATGAAATTGGGTGTAAAAATGGTGTTAACTATATAAAATGACAGGTTTCAGAGTATCAGCCATGTTAGTCTGTATCCGCCAAAAGGACAGGAGGACTTGTGGCACCTTAGAGACTAACCAATTTATTTGAGCATAAGCTTTCGTGAGCTACAGCTCACTTCCACTGCATGCATCCGATGAAGTGAGCTGTAGCTCACGAAAGCTTATGCTCAAATAAATTGGTTAGTCTCTAAGGTGCCACAAGTACTCCTTTTCTTTTTAGATAAAATGAAACTGTGTAAAGTCAAACAACACATGACTTCCACGTTTGCAAACTAAAAGCTAAATTCAACAAACAATTTATTGACCTGATTTAAAGAGACTTGGAAGCAGAATCAACAATGTCAGACAATAAGTATAAGGATAATTGTAAATACTTGACAGGTGATCACTTCAGCTCTCATGTACCAGCCGGAGGCAATATACATCACAGATAAAGTATATTGTACAGGTATTTCTATGCTATGACAACTATTTGACAATTGTTTTACAGTCTTAGTGTAATATTACAGGTACAGCAGATTATTGATTAAGCATTCACAATGATCGTTTCCTGTATTTGCTTTTCCCTTATACTTACAGTTTTGTAAACTGTCGATCATAAATGTCATTTATGGCAGATGTTTAACACAAGTTTTTAAAAAAGTCCCTTCCAGTGTTAGTCTTAGCAACAGATTTACTTAGCAACAGCAACAGTGGTTAGGAAAATAATGTTTATGTATAATTATAAATTAAGGCAGCATTTACCCATGTTCCTTCCTAATTAAAAATAGAATGAAGAGTTAGCATTGAAACTTTGTTTTAAATGGTTTCGATATTACTGTGCACTCCTTCTCCTCCAGAGGAGCTGTGATATTCTATTCTTCAGATAACCTTTCTGAAAAGTCACATTCCCATGACCCCATACCACAAGATCCCATTGACTATATCTTTAATAAACAACAAACAGATGTTCTCTGGAAAATTTTGAGTGTAGTTCAATTTAGACTGACAGCGTTCATGAAATAAATATTGTACAGCATTTCCTTTCATAACATATTTCAGGCTGAGAAATAAACAGACAATGTAATGTACTGTCAACTTGAAATCTCAGTTCATGTGTTTTATTCTTCTTATGAATCGTCTCAAGTATTATCTGAAAAGCGGAAATGACCTTTAGTGGCAAGCTTGATTTAAGTTGACATGTTACTTTATTTTTGCTGATTGTATAGTAATACTCTAAATGTAAAATAATATGACAATTGGTATTAATTTAAAATGTACACAGAAACTTTTTGTAGACGATGTCGGAGGGTTCGGGATGGGGGAAGGATGAGCTACCTGGTGCCTGTCATCGAGTACCTCCTTCTCTACAGCTGGGGATCTCCCCATTTGGCAGTGGCCTAATCAACTACACCTACCTGTTGAGGGTGGCATTTAGATTAAGATGTAGCTATTTGCTGTGTTAAAGGAGTCCTTGTATGACAATTAGGTATTCATAAAGTTGTAATAATGCTAGAAGGAGCTAAAATTGCATAATCCCTTTCTTCATGGAGTTAGTCAGAGAATTAGCAGAAAGAAAGAAAGATGTAATTAATTTCAGATTCAAAATCGTAGTCATTTTTTATCTGATCCACTTCTAACCCTCTGCCCCAGCCTGGAGCACCCTGAACCCCTCATTTCTGGCCCCACCCTGGAGCCCACATCACCAGCTGAGATCCCGTACCCCTCCCACACCCCAAACCCTGACTGAGCCTGGAGTCCGCTCCCACACTCTGAACCCCTTGGCCCCACTGCTCAGCCTGGAGCCCCCTCCTACACCCCCCACCCCATAGCCTGCACCCCCAGCCAGAAGCCTCACCCCCTTCCACACTCCAAATGCCTGCCCCAGCACAGAGCCTTCTCTCTCACTCTGAACCCCTCAGCCCCAGTCCCCTCCTGAACCCTAAATCCCTCATCCCTGACTCCACCCCAGAGCCCACACCCCTAGCCAGAGCCCTCACCCCCTCCTGCACCGCAGCCCACTGCCACAGCCGGGTGAAAGTGAGTAAGGGTGGCGGAGGGAAGGGGGATGGAGTGAGTGGGGGCAGGGCCTTGGGGAAGGGGGCAAGGCAAGGGTATTTGGTTTTCTATGGTTAGAAAGTTGGCAACCCTGTTTGAAGTTACCATACTGTATTTGTTTGATTTAAATGATTTTACTGATCCTAAACTAGAAATCTTTTCCAAGCGGCCAGTGGCATTAAGATGTCTCGTCACTATACATTTCTTAGTTGGAATTTCAGTCTGAGTAAAATATTTAGCATGTCAAGTTAAAATGAGCTAATTTTCCTTTGTAATCAAACAGATTTACAATATTTGAACATCATCTTTGATATCCTGATTTTACAGTAGTTTTTTCTATGTTCAGATTAAAGCGCTTACCTGAGTGTCAGAACAAACTTCCAAAACATGTTTTTTTTCCAAATATCATATATCTTTATTTAGAAGCAATGACTGCTATTACATGTATTCCATCACAACTTGTGAATAAAGATATCTAGTATATGCCATGTTCACTGAAGGCTGAATCCTGTTGTTGTTTAGTATGCAATCCTGCTCCTGTCAATGTGTATTTTAATTGCAGATTGATAGCTGTACCAACTCTAGGTTCACTCAGCTAGCACGTACCTTGTGAATTTGCTGTATTCTACAATACATATTGTGTGCTTTTCTGCTACATAAACTGTGGAGCTCTAATGTATTCAACATTTACAGTAATGTATGAAATTTGGCTTGCAGTTTTATTAGACATTACTTAAGAACCTATTTCTGCTTCCTCTTTAGGATCCCAGAAGCAAACATAAGTTTAAAATCCACACATATGGAAGCCCGACATTCTGTGACCATTGTGGGTCATTGCTGTATGGACTTCTACATCAAGGGATGAAATGTGACAGTAAGTAAGTTTTTCTAATGTTATTAAAATGGCCTTTTAGATAATAAGGGAAACCATTAGGCATCAAGCGTCCTCTTTCCTTTGTCTGGAAAAATATTGTTTCAATTACAGTTAATTACAGTACTGTATATTTCAAATGAATATTTCATTACTGAAGACTCTCTTAGTAAAACAATATAAATCAGCCAAACCTCCTCCAGTGGGAAAAATGCTGTAAAAATATGCTAATGCAAACCATCTTGGTTACTGAAAAAGCAATCTATCAAGTTTGATGTGGCTAAAGTGTATTTGCCATCGCAGTTCTGAAGATTGTTCTACTTGGGGTGGAAGGGATGAATCCTTTGTGGAGACATTGGTTCTGCCCAGCTGTTAGCTAAGGTCCCATATTTCATAGTCACCCCTGCAACAACCATAATTCTTATGGAATGTGTACCCCAAAAGATAGGCAAAGGAATCATCTGTTGGCATGTAAAAGGGTGGCAGAAAAACAGAAGATGGCTTAAAATGCCTAAATATTATTTGTACTGTCACAACAGAGCCATGCTTTGGTCTGGCCATTCTCCCTATTGTCCCACCCCCAGACTCCTCAAATTCACTTCCTACAACCATTGCCTTGATTTGCTCTCCTCCAGTGTCATCCCACTTCCCTTCCGAACTCGCTACTTCCTGCTCCACTTCAAGTCAATGTTCATAATGACCTCTTCATGGCCACATATTACACCCTATCTAGTCCATCCTCATATTCCTTGATCTCTTGTGTGCTGATGATATGATCTGTCATCATCTCCTTGAAATCTTGTCCTCCCTTGACTTTCTTGTTTTCAGTTCTTTTCATCTCTCTCACTGTTCCTGGAATATTTACTGTGGTGGCAGGGGTGGGGCATGGACTCTCTCACCTTAAATCCCGCATCTCAGTTTGTGTCTCTAACATCTCTTGCTAGATTTCTCATCATAATTTAAGTTTAACATGATTAATATTTTAATTCCTTATCTTCCATCCCAAACCTTCCACTCACCCTTTTCTTTGCCATTGATGGCATCAGCACCATTAACCTGTCACCTAGGTAGGTAACATGGGTATGATTTTCCACTGCCTTCTCTCTAGATCACATATCCAGGTCATGTCCAAATCTTAACATCTCTTCTGTTGTCACATCTGCATGACCAGCCTTTTCTCTCATTTTGTCTCCCTCCCCCCATGCCGGTATTATGGAAATTAGCACAGTAATATTTACAGTTCTGTATTTCATCTGTAAGCAACCTGTCAATTTCTGTATTGGTTACAGTAATTTATAGCAAATGTTCTAATATTTTGGATCAAGTCTTTGTTCCATGGACTCTTCATTTTGTCTCTTTTACATTCCATTAATAAGGTCACATTTTTAGGTGACTGAAGCTGAGCCTTTTTTTGTGGTTAATACTTCAGTGTTTTTTAATGATATTTATAAGGAGAGCCATTTTCGTCAGTAAAAAAAAACAAACAACCAGTTAATCGGATGTGATAGAATAATGTTACCGTTCATGTTTACCGTATGTATTTAGCATAAATATATTGACTTTCATACATACCATCATTGTCTGAACCTTTTCTTTCCTGATCCACAGCTTGCGATATGAATGTTCACAAACAGTGTGTAATAAACGTCCCAAGTCTGTGTGGAATGGATCACACAGAGAAAAGAGGAAGGATTTATCTGAAAGTTGAAGTCAGTGGTGACAAACTGCAAGTCACAGGTAAAAAAAGGAAAAAAAAAAAAAAAAAGTGTTCTGGGAATTGGTGACAACAGAAGGGTTTAATTTGAACTTTCCTGGGCTTTGGAATAACTAACATAAGTTATGTGTTCAGCATTATTTGTAGCCTGTTTATGTGCAGTGAGTGAAATCTAGGCTCATTGAAGTAAATAACAAAAATACCCCATTAATGTCAGTAAGGCCAGGATTTCATTCAATATGTACTTTAGTCTAAGAAATGCTATGTTCATTATTATTTAAAAGAGCAGGTTTGATTATAATAGATACACGCATGATTCAAAGAAATAATAGTGGCTCTAAATTAAAACTCAGGAATATTAACTTTGTGAAATCAATTTTTCAGGTAACCAGCAGTAACCTAAAACGTTCTGAAAAGTAGGGCCTCAGTTACTCAAAAAGAAAGAACAAAAGGAAAAAAAGGCAAGAGACTGCTTAGCTTTCTCCACCAGCTAAAAAGTTATGCCCTATAGTTCACACAAAGGCCATTTGGATTTGGTCTCAAATACTCTTCCAGGCAAAATATAAATATTATAAAATGACGTTCTGGGGAAAGAGAGGCGGTGTGTTTTATTGATAATATTTTCTTAGACATTTATAGTGCTTCATTTGCTTTCTTTTTTGGCTCTGGATTGTTGGGAGTATACTGAAGTTATGCCTCATGCAGGGGTGTAATTTTTTTTGTTTTGTTTTTCCAAGTTTGGGACTAAAGTGTGCCCTCAAGTAGGCACATATTCCTTGTGTTAACTTCAGTAGAGCTTCCTTATCCATATCAGAGAATGGAATTTGGCCTTTAGTTACCGAGACATTAACAAACATCAAATACACATTCCTTGCTCTGTTGATCATTTTTATATTTTAGCTAGGGAGTGACTAGCAGTGCACCGGAAGTGTTTACAGGATGGTGACAAATGTTACAGTTCATTCGTATTTAAAGTAAATTATTTGTCTTCTTACTTCCAGAATACTATGTGTAGTTCAGATTAAAATGTATTTACACTAAAAGAGCTCATGGTGTGGAGAGTAGGAAAGGAGGAGGAGATAGGGGGTGGTATAGTTGAGCCTTGTTCTCCTCTATCTCACGGGTGGTAAAGATTGTGTTGAGCCAATATGTAAAATATATCTAAAACCCAAATAAATTGTCATGCCCTCATTTTCCAGACAGTCCCATACACTAATAAAAACAGATGTCAGACCCCGCTAATTAAATTTACAGTGTCACTTGAAAACAGTAGAAATAATGAAATGTGACGTCATTGGGGAAGTACTTCCAGTAATAACAGTAATAAGCAGGGATTAAATCCTGGCCCCATTGAAGTCAATGGGTATTTTGCCACTGACTTCAGGATTTCAACCCAAATGACCAAGACTCCTCCAGTGGCGGGATCTGTAAAGCAAATGTATAAGAAACATTTACAGTTAAAACAGGCAGTGGAAAAATTGGCCTTCAGAATATGAACTTTGTGATCTTTTGGGTTTTAAGATGACAGTGCTGGTCCCTTCATTATAGCTCTATTGTGATGTTGTGATGGGGAATTAATTTCAGTTCTGAGGCCAGAGCAGAGCTCTAGGGATATGAGGATGTCTCCATTTTTCTCTGTTTCCTGGCTGTAGTGAAGTATCAGTTGTTGCTCTCATCATATGTAGGTATTGAACATCAGTCTTGCCCCCTTTAAATGCCAGGCTGTGCAGTCTACCAAAAATACATGAAATGATAAAGAATATTGCCTTTAGTTGTTCACTTTTTCTTATTTTTCAGAATAATTTAGAACACACGGTCTGGGTTTTCTTGTCAGGCTGTCTATGATTATAAAGGAAACCACATTTCTGAATTTTCAAGACTTTTACAGGACCATCAACATTTTTCCCATACATACCTACCTACCTATATTTCTTCATCATTTTGACACCAGAATATCTTAGGCAATATTCTATCCCATCTTGTAAAAGACACTGGAAAGGAAGGAAAGAGAAGGATAACGTATAGCTACAGAAGATCAGAATAGCACCCACGTGATGACTAATTGTAGCTAACTTTTTCCACTTGCGTCCCACTGATGGAGGAGAAGTAAACTTCTCCAAGGTGCTGTTATTTCGGGCATGTTACTTTCACTAAATAGTGAAGGCATTTCTTAAACGATGTGGCAGGGTGTCTAATTTTAACTGTACCATCAGGAGGAATCGATTTGAAAATCATAACACTGAAGAAATTAAATATTTGTACTAATTTAGGCCATTAATCAGAAAGGCACATGCTTAAATACCTAACTTTAAAACTGCACTGCAAAAATTATTCAACAAAGCACTTAAAACACATGTGTAAATCCCATTGACTTCAGTGGGACTTCAGCACATGCTTAATTACTTTGCTGAATAGGGATGACTTTAAGCAACTGCTTTGCTAGGCATGTGCTGAACAGTTATGTTGAATTAGGCTACCAGGGTGAAGTTGTCATTCAGCATTAGTTAGATGTCCTGAAATAGTTATAATAGGGTTCAAAGTATAGAATTGTAATTGGAAACTAAGGCAATTTTGAAGACTTTTCAAATACTGAACAATGAGCAGTATATTGACAACAAGTAGTTTTATTTTACATTAACTTGTTTTAGTATCCCGCCTGGAAGCTGGTATCTGAAACTACTTTAGATTAATTCATTTTAACCTCTCATGGTACTTTGACTAGAAGGAAAAACGCTTGAATTTAAAGAGTGCAGAAGATCAGTTGCAAAATCTTGCCAACTCACCAATTAGCCATGACCTATAGACATTAGTTAATATTTTCATCTTTTTATGCATTGTGGGTCTGATCCTGCTTCCTTTTAAATCAATAACAAAACTTCCATTAACTCCAGTGTAGCAGAATCAAATTCTTTGTTAGCTTTTTGTATTATAAATGTCTCTTCAAAGTTTCAAAGAGGGTAAAATGATTGTAGTTTCTAAAGTGCTGATCGTTCTTTTCACATGCCATCATCATGTTGAAGAAACAGAGCAGATTCAATCATTTATTCCCTGAGTATTGAAGATACAATATTTGTAGTTTTCAAGTGTCTGTTTTAAGAAAAGTTTCCAAGAGGAAAAAAATAGAAGTTGTTTTAGGGCAGGAGATATTAATGTATTTAGATCTGACTAGCAGAACTGGACAGCTTCAGTGAGATTCCAAGGTCAGAGGTGCACATGATTATTTGTTTGCAGTGTTGTTGTGATCGTGTTGGTCCCAGGCTATTAGAGAGATAAGGTGGGTGAAGAAAAATCCTTTATTGGATCAACTTCTGTTGGTGAAAGGGGCAAGAAGAGCTCTGCAGAAGAGCTCCTCTGTGTAGCTTGAAAGCTCGTCTCTTTCATCAAGAGAAATTGGGCCAAAAGAGATGACCTCACCCAACTTGTCACAGATTTTAAAGATTTGTCTGTTACTGCAGTGTGTACACATCTCAATGAAGAGGAACAGTTTATCTACACAGCTGTATAAAGGTATAAAAAAAAATATTCACTGTGTATAATAACACAATGCAATTTGGTAAGAATTAGGAATGTGCTGGACAGAAATCTGTATTGCCTGCTCTCCTGTCCATATCTTGTATCTATCCTTTTTAATAGCAAGCTAAAAATATTTTAAATGGACAGAAAGACTCTATCAGGGAGATTCATTAGGGAGACGAAACAGACTATTGATTTGCAATACAAAATTATCTAGCAGCACAGGAGAAACTAAGGAAATAATACTCTGTTTAAATCCAAGGTAGATGGGTTGTAGCTTGTTCTTTTGAAAGACTGCTTTAGTGTTTTTCTTAAAAATAATTATAATTTTTTTAAAGTAGAAAATGGACTCTGTTCAGACAGCACCCCAAGTCAACGGTGCGTATTGCTCAGAATTTCTTCTTTGGCATTTTCTCATTCACTATCCTAATTGAGTTGATACTCTGAAGAGCAGCAGATGTGCTTGCAGCATTGGCAACAAAGAGCTTGCTGCTGCCACAGTTGTTCTTTGCCTAGTCATTAACCTCAGCTGTCGGTCTGGGTTCACCAACGCCATGTATTGATAGAGCAATTTTTTTAAAAGGATGCTTGCCTCAAATTGTCTTATATTGAAATACAGTGGTCTTAGACAGATGATTGTCTAGAATGCAGGAATATATTGCATCTGCATGTCCTTAGTCTCCTGTGGATTCTTGATAATGTGATTGAAATTAGAATTGAGACAAAATGTTTTGCAGTTTGCATCGAATGTGCACTGGGCACAAAAACCAATTATTTGTTAAGCACCAGCATTGTGGTTAAACATCTCAAAAACTTTACTGCACCTAAATCTCAAAAGATTTCTGTCCCAGTTTTATAAGCGTAGAAGTTTTGGATCATTCACCTAAGCGGCAACTGGGTTCTGGCTCCTCAGGAGAGCTAAAACAAATCTTTTCTGGTTCTCTCATCACTTATTGTTTGTGGGATTAGCTAATAATAGGCCTTGGGGTGTAGCGGAAATTCTCAGAACTGCTTTTCATGTGTCAAAGATATTTACCAGCATTTGACAAAAATCTTTCAAAAAAATTTCAAATTTTAAATCCTAACATGGAAGGGAAAGGTGGCTTTTCCCCCAAGCATAGTACCCTGTAAAGCTGAATTACGTTGGCTTTCAGAATGAGTCTTTGGTCACATTTGTTTAGACATTGATAGCAGATAGTCTAGGACCTGCTGGACTGTGTAAATATTGGATAGACTGTGCTTGCTGCCAGAGAAGGTCTACTGAACGCCCGAACTACTAAGGAAGAAAACAGCAAGTGCACTGAGCTAACTCTGTGTCAAAGCCAAAAGCAAGGTCCTATATAACAAGAAGTCTGGAAGTATTTATTCTCCCTACTTCCATGATGTTTTAGTGGCATAAAGTAAATGCTCTGAGAGGGTCGTTAAGCCTGACTTGAAGAGAGCAACTGTGTTTTTACCACTGTTTGGTCCAGTTTAATCATAGACTTTTCCCTCTAAGAACGGCGGATCT